TGGAACGCTCTTACTTCCGATATTAGGAAGCCACTGGAGCTATGCACTTTTAAATCTAAGTTGAAAACTAATGTCTTTAAATGTGCTTTTTGTCTTCTTGGTTCTTTCGGTAAAGTCACGTAGCATGGAAATATTAAAATAATAACAATAAAACATAATAAAATTATTCTCACGACGTTTCGGCCACAGCGCAAGCAGCCGTCCTCAGGTGAAGAACAGGTCCGTTGATCAGACAGAGTCTGAGTCATTGCGACTGTGTCTTATCGACGGACCATTCTACGTGACTTTACCGAAAGAACCAAGAAGATGAATCCCTGCAGTCACGAAAGCTTCAAATCGAAATTTTGCTTTTTGTGTTTAGTTTGTTGTCCTTCCTCCGCACATCCGATTAGCACGGTTGGCAACGTACGGTGCGAAAGAAGTTGAATATACATATAGGAGCGTTTGATCAAGCGCCCTGCTCAAGAAATGTGGATTGCCAGCAGTGTACGGCTACCCCTGGTCGCTACTGCAAAGGTGTTCGTGGTTGTGCTGTGCATCTGTCCGATGTGCTTGCAGGTTTTACAGCACAATGTTGTCCCCCACGATGCCCTCCGCTAATCCACTAATCTCTACCTACTGGGAGTTTCTTCAGGAGCTGGACAGTTTCTGGAGAAACTCCCGGTACGTGAAGCGAAACGTCGGACATAAATGTCAAACAACACACGAGTGTTCCGCGCGTTGTTCGGGAACATAACACGCACAACAGCACAAAGACACACACGCACACACAATCACCATCCCACGCAACTATCACCCACGTGCGGGGAACTACCGCACGCACGAAATAGTTTCTAAATATATTCAGAAAAATCTCACGGCACGGAGAGCGACATGTCAGGCGTTGTGCTGAGCAGCACGCGGCACGCATGTACGGTAGGTTGAACTTCTTTCGCACCGTACGTAGCCAACCGTGCTAATCGGAGGTGCGAGTACAATCCAAAAACATCGCAGGTGGCATAGCCCTGGTCGTTCACTCGCCTGCTCCTGTCCAGCGAGATTCGCGGATCTCCAGACGCTACCTGCGTCACCCAGAACCCCTTTCCTCGCCTCGTGCCGTGGGCCGGAATGCGTTTGCCGAGTTCTCCTTGTTATAATACGTTCAGTTTACAACATGTTTTCATGTTGGGGTTTTGCCCAAAAAAAATAACTACTATTACAAAAAAACGAAAGATTACACATGGCGGCTCGTGTAATAATTTCGCGAATGCATGAGACGGGTGATTGTGTGATACTAGAGAGAGGTGAAAGGGAGGTGAGAGGGAGACAGAAAGGTGAGAGAGGCCCCTTCGGGGAAACTATACCCACCTGGGATCAATTATCTGCTCGAAGGCGATTTCCGTAAATCCACGTTCCGTGCCTAACCCCACAGGGCTCCGGCACAGCCAACGGTACTCGCGGACACGAAGCCTTAACGCCGAGGTCCCCCTCCTCATCTGAGCGATCGGTTGCGCAACTCGATTGCACGCATTGGCGAGACAAAGGCGGCGTGTTTGTGGCCACGCCGAACCAGCGTGTCAAACTGCGGGACTTAATCGGTGGCCCGCAAACAACATTTGCCCCCCCCCCCTCCAACAGACTGTTAAGGCTGCATATAGGGCGTGCGTGTCGAGCGTGCATTGCGTTAAGCATACACACGCATCCATACGCAATGCGTACTGGCAGTACAAACCAAAGCACTGGAATCGATTGCAGGCCACGCGCATCAATGACAAGATGTAGATATGAACCTGTGGCGTGCCTCCATGGGTCAACTCGGCATTCATTGGTATGGTGCGTATGTAAATTTCGACTTTGGGAAGATGGTATGGTGTTGGCACCAACCCCCACGTGTTCCGTGTCTGGGTTGGGGTGTGCGAGTTGCGTTGGCTGGGTCATGTAGCCCGCACGCCGAACCCACCGCATGCCCAAGCAACTGAATGTTTGGCCAGAGAAAGGGAGCTCAACGGGCGCGGTACGGGCTGGAGAAGAGATGGGCTGACGTGGTACAGGAGGACCTGCCGACGACCGGGGGTACCAAAGGTGTCAAGATGGGCCTCTGTGGAGTGGAGGCGCGTGTAGGACGCTGCTGCTGCTGGACAGTTGGAGGAAATTGCCCTGCGGCAACCACGGAGGGCAGAGGAGCGACGCTCGCGACAATGAGCGGAGCGCCGGGCAGCTAAAACGCAGAAAGTTGGCACAGTAGGGAGAACAGGCGATGCATCTGTCAGTGATTTCAGTCACGTGGGTCTATCTCGTGACCTCCTGTCAGCAAGCTTTCGACACTTCGCATCGCCTCAACGTGCACCTAGCCTGGCACAATGTCTATGGCGACGTCACCGCCACTGAGTGGTGACTGGCGGCTATTGCTGTGTGCGAGTGTGTAGCTGTGTCTGTCCGCGTGTGCGTGAGTGGAAGTGTATTCGAGCATTAGACTCCCTGTGCAGGATGCGGGAACGTGTGCAAGTGTGTGCGCGTGGCGTGCCGGCCTTCATATGCGCTCGCTAACACCACTTGCCCCAACAGTCTGTTAAGGCTATACAGAGGATCTTTGTATTCATATTTGTGTTTTAGCTGTACACGCGTGTACGTCTGTGTGTTTGAGTGTATGACGCCTGTGTGTGTAGGTCTGTTTTGCTGAGTAGACGTGTGTGCGTGTTGGCGTGGCCTTTAACAACAGACGGTTCGGGCGAGCACCTATCAAGGCTTGCACGGCACACGACGGGTTTGCCTGGACCAGATCCACACTCGACCGCCTTTGTCTCCCTTAGTGCTGATGTTTTAACACAGCCGCAGTACTCATTTGAGGCCTGAGTCGCTCTACGAGAAGGATCGGTTGAATTGGCGCGGTGCGCGTGTCTCGGGGCACGCCTGGTGCCCGTGCTCATCTGACCGCCACCCTCGTGCGCACCGTACACACCTCAATAGGTGATCGCTAACATGGACGGATCGTTCGTCTTGTACAAGCACGTGCCGAACGTCGCAGAACCGCGAGAAGAGGCGACGGTTTTGGAGGAGGCCTTTCATCCAGCAGTGGATTGAACGCGGCTACTGCTGCTGTTGATGATCATCCTGCTGTTGCTATATAGCCCCCCCCCCACTCCACAACGCAATACAGTGCGATGATTTACGTCCGTAGATTAACACCGCCCCTCCGGCGTCTCCAAGGATGCGCTCGTGGCTTCGTTCGTCTCCTGGGCGGCTTTCATGCCAACCCCACGGACACGGCTCCCGACGGACTTGGCGTGCGCGCTCTCTGAATAACAACTCCACTCTCCCCTCTCTCTCCTCTCTCTCTCGCCGTGTCTCTCTAATGAGAGGAGACTGGACTGTATGCACGTACACACACATACATACACGCATACACACACGCGCGTGCACGGGCTTAAGCGTGCCGGGGCATCTCTCTCGTGTAATGACCGCTCGCGCCCCGCGCTTGATTGGGTGTCTGGGATTCATTCATTCATTCGGGTTTTGTGTGTGTTGTGTTGTTATTGAGATTTCTTTGTCATGTCGTCGGTGCGTTCATTCAAAATTGTGCTCGGTCAGTGGGTGAGATTGTGGGCTGTCCGCAGCAGGGGCATCTTAATGTCAATGTCCACTCCTCGTTACCCGCCACTGTCGGTCTTTACGACTCTGCCAATTCACCTCCTTGTCGGTGCAAATTAAGTATTCACGAGCTAATTGAGTATATTTAGGCGCTAAACACAGACAAACCCAAAGGGCGTACAGAGAGCGCCAGCTGTTTATTTGAATCGGCGCTCTCTCTCTCTCCTCTCTCTCTCTTTTTACGATCAGAGGAAACAAGAAGATGCTCGGTGTAGTCGGCACTTTGCTTCGTTCATCATTTCGTTTTTTTTTTCAATGCTTTTTTAAATGAAAGATTTCACCTATCTACCCACGGTGGGACGTACACGTACACGCACGCGTACAAAGACAAAGATCCCCCGTATAGCCTTAAGAGACTGTCGGAGCAAGTGCCGTCAGCGAGCACACGCGGCACGCACGCGCACACACACGAAACACTCACTCAGCCAATTTGAATCAGCAGCGCTCTCGATGTCACACGGAGGGGACGTGATTAGCAATCATCAGGCGTGTGCGGGGCCGAATGAATGGAACTGTTTTTGAACAGAGACGATGGGCAAAGTGCAGGGGATAGACGGCGTATGAAATCGTGGTGAGTTTACGAGGATTGGAGGGTTGTGGATTGGGAACCCATCCTCTGTATGTGTACACGACTTACCTCGCACACCACGTGCGAGTTTAGCAATCATCATGCGCGTGCAGTGCGTGCGAACTCTATGTTATATCTATATATGCACACATATATTTGAACTGAGACGATTGGTATAGATAGACACGTAAAGACATACAGTGTATATGTTACCGTGGTAACTGATATTTGGGTGCCCCTGCAATTTCACGACTCGCGTGCTCGCACCCCACGTGCGCAAAACAAGACAAAGATCCCCCGTATAGTCTCAACATACTTTTGGGGCAAGTGCTGTTAGCGAGCACCTAATGAAGGCCAGCACGGTGCACGAGGGGGTGTGTGGCCAGCACCACCCCGTTCCGCCTTTGTCTCCGCAGTGGCGATTGTTTACACACCGCACCAGGTACTCAATGAGGCTGAGTCGACCTAGGAGAGCCTCGGGACCGGCGTAGATAACCGTCACCGGCGTTGTCGACGTTGAGCGGGAATCGAACTGTGGTCGCCGGCTTCGAAGCGCAGCTCCCTAACCGCCGCACCACCGCTCCCCACGTGCGCGCACCGCCGGTGACACTCACGATAACCCTCACTGACAGCTGACGTCGGGTTGAATGTCGCCATGGGGGACGCACACAAATCCTAATTGCGTTACAGATGGGGGGAAAGCGTGTGTTGCTAAATCCCATTACACACACACAGAGAGAGAGAGAGAGCCACAGCATCGCCGCTCATCGCACCGGACGCGTTTTAGGGCACCCCGTTAATTAGATTCGGATTTGAATAATTTATTATGAAATATCGTAGGCGAAAGCGTACAAATGTAATTACATGCAGCTCCATTAGTTCACGCCGCTTGTTATAATATACACGGGGCATGCACGCGTCCGCGATTCACGCATGTGTAAAAAGAGACTCATTATAAAGATGGAATAATATATTTGAATATATATACCTTTTTACCGTTCTAATATAATTCACGCGTAGACTAAACAATATATTTTTTTCGTCGCAAGACAAAGTCTGGCGGAAGCCAAGTGTGTAGTCACGGCGCGTTCATTTATACAAAGCGCGTCTCTCTCGGTCATCATCCGATCAGCGAGACTGGTAACGGAATGGAAGTGGTCAGACCAAGGCTCATGATGATGATGGTGACTACGCTGATGTATTTACAAGCTGGCTGGTTGTTTCTTGAATTGATTTTAGATGCTCAAAATGTGTTTTATAGGTCCATGATAGAGGTTTGTGGGTTAAATCGCTTAAATATAAATGTGTCGTTAAACCCACCACCACCCGACACAGCCAATTAGTAAGGTTTGTCACGTAAACAAAACGTGGCAATTCGTTGCTAGTTCAGCACGCCGGTGTGTTGGAGAGTAAACCCACAACATTTACAATTCGAGTACGACGTTTCGCCGGTAATTACAACGAGCATCATCAGGCGACAGCCAGAGTTGTGGATACATCCTCCCGTTTCGGTCTTAACGACACATTTAGATTAATGCGATCTAACCCAAAAACCTCTTATGGATAATATTGGTCGTGATAACTTGCGTGTTAAACTGTTTATAGGTTTAAGGACGACCACGTACCTTCATAACAAAACAATGCGCATGTTATATAGTATGTTGAGTGCTGTACACACATGTTCGTATTTGTGTGCGCGCGAGTTGAAGTAGTGCGCTGCGGTAGTGTAGTAGTTAGCGCTACGCCGCGCTCCGAATCCGGCGACACGAGTTCGATTTCCACTCACGGCTAAAACCAGCCACGATCAATTGAACCGGTCCTGGGCCTCCGCTAGGTCGACTCGGCCTCAAATTAGTACCTGGTGCGGTACGTAAACATCACCACTGGGTAGACAAAGGCGGCCGGGCGTGGTGTTGGCCAACCACCCCCTCGTGTGCCGTGCCGGCCTTCATAGCCGCTCGCTAACAGCACTTGTCCCAACAATCAGTTGAGGCTGTACTGAGGTTGTTTTCCTTTGTTGTACGAGTTAAAGAACGGTCCACAAGCATTGCGCATAACCCTTTGGTGGAAGGGGGAAAAGCAATTAATGCGTGACATTCCAGTGGCCCATTGCTCTGCTAAACCACGTGAGCGTGGGTGTGAATGATGGCACAAGCCCAGCAAGTGACGCAATGGCATAGCGGCAGACACACAAAGCCAAAGATCCCGCGTATCGCCTCAAGCGGCAAGTGCTATTCGCGAGCACTTATGAAGGCGAGGGGATGGGTGGCCAGCACCACGCCCGGCCGCCTTTGTCTCCCTCGTGGCTATGTTTACACACCGCATCAGGTACTCATTTGAGGCAGAGTCGACCTCGAGGAGGCCCAGGACCGGTCACTGGTGGTGGCCGTGGGCGGAAACTGAACTCGGGTGGTCGGGTTCGTAGCGCAGCGCGCTAACCGCTACATCACCGCTCCCCACGCCGGTAGACGTACAAGCCAAAGACAAAGATCCACCGTATAGCCTGAACAGACTGTTGGGGAAACAGTCTGTTAGGCGTATATTCACTCGCTCGCACACAAAGACAAAGAACCCGTCGTGTTGCATTTTTAGACCTGGGTGGTGGTGGGGGGGGGGGCAATTGTTCTTAGCGAGCACCTATTAAGGCCGTAACGACGCACGATATGGCGGTGTGGTCAGATCCCGCGCCCGGCCGCCTTTGTCTCCCTAGTCTTGATGTTTGGTTTACACATCGGGCTCGATGCCTGTGTATCTTGCACCGGAAAGCTTTTTGCGTTCATGATAATGAATCGTGTGTTTTGTTGCATTCGGAACTTTGCTGTTTGCAGTCCAGGTCACATTTGAGTGACTCCTGCTTACATTGGGATAGAACATTGGGGTCTTGAATGAAGACAAATGTAATACTACTGTGTGGCCATGTCGACCTTTGGGCGGTCCCAGCACAAGATCGGATGACAAACTACCGCTGACGTTGTCCGTGGCTGGGAATCGAACTCGGGTCAGCCGGCATCGTAGCGCAAGCGCGTGGACCGCTACGTCTCGGCCCCAGGACACGTTTCCCTTGCTTTGTGCGGGTTCAGTTTGTGCGATTTCGCGTGTATGCGGTGAACCTATTTGAACCCAAACTTCGCTCTATGCGGTTTTAAGTCACTAATATGCGGCAATGCGGTCGGACGTGGGAGTACATTGTGTGTAGTGTGTGTGTAGTGTGTGTGTACTGCGTGTGTAATGTTTGTGTACTGCGTGCGTGGGAGTACATTGTGTGTAGTGTGTGTGTGTACTGCGTGTGTACTGTGTGTGTACTGCGTGCGTGTGTACTGTGTGTACTGTGTTTGTACTGTGTGTGTAATGTTTGTGTATGGCGTGCGTGTGTATTGTGTGCTTACTGTGTTTGTGTGCTGTGTTTGTGTGTAGTTTTGTGTACTGTGTGTGTACTGTGTGTGTACTGTGTGTGTGCAATGTTTGTGTACTGTGTGTGTACCCTGTGTGTGTACTGTGTTTGTGTGTAGTGTTTGTATACTGTGTGTGTGTAGTGTTTGTGTACTGTGTGTGTGTACTGTGTGTGTGTACTGTGTGTGTACTGTGTGTGTACTGTGTGTGTGTGTACTGTGTGTGTCTGTGTACTGTGTGTGTGTAGTGTGTGTGTACTGTGTGTGTGCTGTGTGCGCTACTCGGCAGGCAGATGTCTCGTGCGATTTCACTTTGTGAACCCCTTTTTTGGAACGCATCTACCGCACAATGCGAGGGAAACCTGTACATTCTCACACATACACACTCGTAGAGACACACACAGACACGCACATGCAAACATAACAATCCATCCGTGTGTGTACGCTATTCACGTGTGGGTGTGTGAACGCTCACGTACAATTTAATCCCAGAAATTATAGCTCAGGAACGCGTAAGTATTAAGGCACGCAAATGAAGCAAAGTCTACTCGACTGTTCCCAGACAATCAATGCGCGCGCACTTCTGCTTAACCAAGTGGGTAACAATGTCCATTACCAGTCGGTAATTGTATTGTACAGGAATACGTATCATGATGCGTTTTATATATACACACAGACACACAAAGGCTCGAGTATTCATTGAACACATGCCGACTGCCCCTCCTACAACGCGTCAAAGTCGGGTGATGAGCGAACAGTCGTGGGTGGCCAATGATGGTGAAGGACCCACTTACACGTGAACACGTGGCGCAGGTTGGACACGTGGTCGGGTTATTCGGGGCAGCTCTTAAAATATATTAAAGACGCGAGCCACACGTAACAACAACAACAATTTGCTCTTATCTTGTAATTCCCACAACGCTGGCACTGTGTGCCGCGCTGTCCCACACGAGTTTGCAGCTTCGTTGTTGAGAGAGAAAAAAATAACTTTATTATATTTTAGATTGACTCGGTTTTTTTCACAAGCACCGCCACTGCGCTAGAAGGACGTCACTATGTATGTATGGTGAACTTCTTTCGCACCGTACGTAGCCGACCGTTGCTCATCGGAGGTGATTGCTGAAGGCTTGAATGATACACGGTAATGATCATGCTGCCCTTTATTTATCCGAAAAAAAGCTCACCGAGTCTCAAGATCTTTTTTTAAAGAGGCTCCTGCTGGACTGTGATGTTTGGCCAATTAATTATTGAACCAATGAATTCATTAACTTACTTAGCTTTAAATCGAAATTTAACTTATTTTCTTTTGTCTCATGCCTTCAAGAAAACCCGGCCATACGAGGGAGTAATTCTCAATTGCTGTGCCCACATATTCAAGAATCCGTTGCTGCACTGCCATATCCTGGTTATACCTCGCAGCTCAAGCCCACGACGCCTGGTGTACATTAGCGAGCAGTCTCCCGACCCAGCACTATCCTGGAGGCTCAACGTTGCTCAGCTTCTGAGATCTGACGTGTTCGAGCGCATTCCCTGTGATTTGCATATGGACGTCACTGCAAGGGTGTCACAAGAGCGAGCTAAAGGTTTAATCTATGTTCCCAAACACGAGCGAAGCTTCGGACACGTGCTGGGACAGCCCATACCACTACACAGCCACGCAGTGTAGCTACAAGATAAGAGCTCGTTCATGTTGTGGGTGTTGCATCACGGGATCACAGGAGATGGCATCGGCTTTGGGATGGCGTTCATCCATCAATGGATCGGCCCTGTCATATTATATCGATGACGATGATGAATAGTTGAGGCGCTGCGTCTTCAACCCAGGGCTCAATTTCAGCCGGAGCTGTCCGGAGCCGAGCCTCAGAGTCCAGACGCGAGTTGGGGGATGTGGCCCTGGTTTAACCAAAGTGGAGCGACGGGGGTTGGGGACGACTACATCTTGTCTTGCTCTGACTGGCTCTGCCCGCCGGCCTCGAGTCCCCCCGGCTGGATTCCCCGTGCGGTGAAGCGGTTCACGTGAATGGGGATGGGCACCACGATCTTGGGGTTTCGGGTCGGCTCCCCGCTCCGGGACGCGCCGTTGCCCGCTTTGACGCGCTTCCACTTAGCGCGCCGGTTCTGGAACCAAATCTTCACCTGCACCTCGCTGAGACGCAGCGCCGCCGCGATCTGCGAGCGCTCGGACAGGGAGAGGTACTTCTTGCTCAGGAACTCCTTCTCGAGCTCCAGCAGCTGCTCGCTCGTGAACGCCGTGCGCCGCCGCCTCCTCTGCTGCTGCTGCTGCGGGTTGAGATTGGACTTGCCCACTTGCTGCTGATGCTGCTGCTGTTGCTGCTGGTGAAAGTCGTAGTGGTGGTGGTGAGACTGCTGAAGATGCTGATGATGATGATGATGCTGCTGGTGGTGGTGAATATTGTGGTCATTCTGAAGTTGGTCTTCAGCAACGCGCTGATGGTCATCGTGCCGGCGATGCTGATCGTGTTCGGCCGCGTAGCCTCTGTCACCCGGCGAGAAGGATGCTGCCGATGACGACGAGCAGGGGGGAGACACTCTGGTGGAGCGGGGAGTCGCGGGGAGAGCTCGTGGGGGGGAGTGCAGGCTGTCTCCGCTGAACTCGTCCGAGCTGCAGTGGTCCGCGTCGCTGTCGCACGAGAATTCGTCGTCGGGCGCGGAGCACGAGGAGGAGGAGGAGGCGCCGCGCCCTCCACGCGCGCCCTCGATCCCCCCGGGACTGAAGCCCGCGACCCGCGCCGCTGCAGTGCAAGAGACACGCGGGGAGTGAGACCACCACCAGCAGCAGCAGCACCATGCGCAAAAGACAAAGGTCCCCTCCCGTGTAGCCTGAACAGACGGCAGGCGCCAAGTGCTGTTAGCGAGCACCTATGAAGGCCGGCACGATACACGAGGGGGTGGGTGTCCAGCAACAAAGCCCGACCGCATTTTGTCTGCCCAATGGCGATGTTCACACACACTACACCGGGTACTCGTTGGAGGCTGAGTCGACTTAGGGGAGGTCCAGGACCGGTTCAAATAATCGGCAACGGTGTAGGCCGTGAGCGGAAATCGAACTCGAGCCGCCGGGTTCGTAGTGCGGCGTAGCGCTAACCGCTACACCACCGCTCCCCAAACCATGCCCGCACGCACAGACACGCACAAACGCACACCCAGACACACACCCAGACGCACCCCGCTCTCCATCACACACACGCACAGTGCCCACCCCTACGCACTCACACGCACGTGCATAGATCGACCCCTTAGACCAGTTGTTCTTAACCTTTACTGCAGCCTGCAACCCCGTTGGTTCTCAGAAAGGGCATCTCGCATCCCCAGGGAGCACGTGCACCCCAGGTGAAGAACCACTGCCTTAGAGACTTTCCCCAACACACGTACACACAGAGACAACCCCTCACACAGACACCACCAGACACAGAGAGACGAGACCTGTCTACAGAGACGACCCTACATACAGACGGCCTCAGACAGAAACCCAAACATATCCCTACGGAGACCCATGAAGGAGGTGTCTACGGAGGCTCTCCAACAGAGACCAAAACAGAGACGCCAAAGAGAGTACCCTATAGATACCCAGACAATGCATAGAGACCCTATAGAGATATGGATATCCCATGGAGACCCCTGACAGAGACCCACAGACTCCCATAGATTCCAGGACGACAGACACAGAGGGTGACCTCCCAAAGCGACCCCCGGGGAGGGAGACCCCGCACAGAGACCCCCAGAGCCCTTTACAGATTGAGCCTCAACAGAGCCCCATCGAGACAGAGATTGAGACCCCAACGTAGTGAGGCCCATACAAGGACCACATAGACCCCCCCCCCCATGCACACTCAGAGAAGCACGCAGAGTGAGAGAGACCCAGACGGAGTGGAATTCAGAGACCCTAACAGAGTGGGATTCTCCCCCCCCCGGCCCTACACACAAACGAGATCCAAACAGATTGAGCCCCCCGCAGAGACTCCTACAGGGACCCCCACTATCTGCCCCCCCCCCATCCCCCGCCCCCCCGTGTAAACACTACGACACGGCGAGACCCGCGCAGCGAGTCGCACACACGGCGACTGCTGTGCATACACGTGCACACCTGTCCCATAGGGGCGCGCGGGGCCCGGGGCAAATCACACCGTGTGGGCCGCCGTGGCGCCTGCAAACTAAATGTGCAGTATAACATCTGCCACCCTCATGTTGAATCGCGCGCCCCCCCCCCTCCAAAGCGCGGGGCCCAGGGCGGTTTCCCCCTATTCGCCAAACCCTAGAGACGGCTCTGACCTGTACTGCCTTACCGCATGATGCACCTAGTGCCGATCTCAGATATCACACCCCATCGACTGTGTAACTCCAAACAGCAACAACAACAACAACCGCCGTTCGCCACTGAGTGTCGGTGACATCACCGCAGCACTTGTGCCAGACTAGGTGCACTTTGAGCCCACGCCAAGTGTCGAAGGCCCGCTGGCAGGAGGTCACGGGACAGATCCAGGTGCCGTGGGTTGACTGATTGAGATGGCTGGCATATGCACCACCGTGCTAACTTGCTGCGTTTTATCCACTCGGAGCTCTGCTCGTTGTTGTGAGCGTCGCTCATCCGCTGTGACTGGAGGGCCACTCTGCATACACATCGACTCGCCAGGGCCCTGCATGAAAGATTTCCACACATCTGCTCGACTTTCTCCGATCAGAATATTTATTTACGCTGGAGGAATCCGATGAGCTGTAAAGCTCTTTTGTCGCACGTGTCAGCGGCTTCGGTGCTCGAGTGATTGATGTCGTCCCAAACTGATCCGCGCTTTGCTTACCTTCGCGCTCTTGGTCGTGTTGTGTTCATTTGTGGTGTTCCCGTTGCTTTCTTTAGATGATTTGTATGTATTTTAAGATGTTTGTATAGTGGGTGAAATCGTCTCGCGTTCTGAGATGCAACTCGCACGATTTGACGCTATATATAAAAAAAGGAATTGGTATTATTAACCACGATACTCTTAGTTTTTTCGGTAAAGTCACGTAGGTAAAAAATGCAATTAATAAAAAAAATCACGACGTTTCAGAGGCAACACAAGTCTCCGTCATCAGGTGGGACCGTCACAGCCAGATTTGCTGTATCAAGTGATATCAAGTGATACAGCAAATCTGGCTGTGACGGTCCCACCTGATGACGGAGACTTGTGTTGCCTCCGAAACGTCGTAATTTTTTATATTTTATTTTTTATTAATTTTAATTTCATTTTTTACCTACGTGACTTTACCGAAAAAACTAAGAGTATGAATCCTTGCAGTCACGAAAGCTTCAAATCTAGAATTATTAACCACTGTCCCATACATTCGAACACCTCCCCATTACATTTACCTTTCATCTCTATCTCACAGCAGAAGTAGCTGCTCATCTCTACGTTAAAACACACGCCCGATGTTCATTCCTGGCCTAAACTCTCCACACTCATGTCGTGAAACACACACACACATCTACCGCGTCGGAGAGCAGACATCTGCCCTTCGTCTCTGTTAACACGCGTCGGCTGTTAATCTCCACAATACACATCTCCTAATCATCTCCTTATCTTATAGCACGCATCCCATCTATCTATGATCCCTGTATGTCATGTCCTTATCTACGGGACCTTTATTGTCAGATAGGCCTTTACCCTGTCTGACAATAGAACATGCCTATAAGATGTCCAAACACCAAATGAGATACCAAAGACAATGCAAAATGTGATCAAGTCAACATTTGTTGGCATCTTTTGCCACAAGTTTGTGTGATGAATGCAGACACGATGCCTTGAAACACGTATCGATTGGGAGTTTGAACATCTTAACGCCTGTTTTGTTGCCAGAAAGGGGAAAGCAGCCTCTCCTCATTTCCTGTTCTTCTCTGCCTTGTTACGCAAACTTGCTCTGCGCCGTCTGCCTTTACATGATAACACAGGCGCCATTTAGCCACCGCTCTCGTCTAAATGAGAACACAGCCGCTGTTCACCCCTCCCCACCCCTCCACCAAAGTATTCCTACAAGAGACGAACAACTCTGCACACTCCGCAGACGTGCAGCAGTTGGACCGCGTGGGTCATCGTCAGGGACACGAGAGAGAGAGAGAGAGACGCAACTCGAGACTTGCGGCTCAACTCGTTCGGACAAAGACAACGCGAGATGACGACGGGGAAGGACTTGCGCGTGGGGCACCTCCGCTCAGCACGGTTGGCTACGTACGGCGCCAAAGAAGTTCGGCGTGCAGACATCCCTATGCATCCGATAGAAGATGATGCGGCTGACGATACGGATACTGTTGAGCGACGATGATACTACCGATGATGATTGTGCCACACGGCTTATCATGATCTACTTACTCATGATTATTAAACCGGTCATGATAAACATGCTGATGAAGCCCATGAAGCTCCTGATGATGATGATTGACACGGTGGAGAATGATGGTCTTGATGCTGAACATAATTACGTACGTACGTTTGTTGAACTTATTTCGCACCGTACGTAGGCAACCGTGCTAAATCGGCTGATGACGATGCCACCGCCGATTGCCACACAGTCGTGCAAACGAGCCGGCCTCGGCACAACCCATTCACTCGCTGTGGCATCGGCACCGTTAACTGAAACGGGCACGAGAACCCTCAGCTCCTCACCGGTGGTGGGAGACCTGCAGGGCTTGGCGCAGTGAAGAACCACCGCGGGCGGACGCTCCGTTCGCCCCGCGTCTTCCGTCTCATTGCGCTCCTCTTGCTCCGTCTCCCGGCTTCGGGAGAAGCTCCCCGAGGAGTCGTGAGAGTGGTCGCGAAGTCGCTCCTCCCTGCCCGGGGGTCTCCCCTTCCCGTAGCAGTGCCTCGTGTCGGGGATCACGGGCGGCAGGGTCCTGGCGAAAGCCGAGCAGAGCCCCGCGGCTCCGAAAGCGGCGCCCGCGAATCCGTGCAGCCCGGCTTGCAGCGCGGCTGGGCTGGGGATCACCAGGGGCCCATAGGGGGGCAGGAAGAGCCCCGGGTAGCCCGGGTAGAGTAGCTGACCGCAGCTGCCCTGTCCGCCCCCGATGAGGGAGTCGATGGTGAAGGCGGTGAGCGCGCCCGCGGGTCGATGCATGGTGCGCGATAGCGAGACCTGAACTCCTGATCTTGAGCCTCCTCCTCAGCTTATTCCTGAGCCTCCTCCTAATCTCCCCTATCTTCTGATTTTCTTTTTTATTTTCTTACGAGCCTCCTCCTGATCCTGTGCTCGATGTTCCCTATCCTCTGCCCGTGTGTCTGGTCCTCCTCCTCCTGGTACTCCTCTTCCTGGTCGTCCCGATGCCACGCGCTTTGAAGCCCCTCGGTTTGAACGTCCGTCCAGTTGAAACTGCAGCCGGGCGCCGTTGCCCCACGCCCGACTGGGGGGGCTCGGCGCTAGGTTCGAGAAAAAAAAGTCGAGGCACGAGCGCTGATGATAGTGACGACGTTGGCGATAGAGATTGTGATCGGAGAGCGGGGACGACGATGACGGCTTGTGACTGGCGGTGACTTCGGGACTCGGAGCAGTGCGCGCGCGCACGCGCGCGGATCAGTGACGGCTCTGTGCTGCGCACTCCCGTATCAAGGAGGCATCATCCCGCGCCTGGCGCGCCACCCTGAGCTCCCTCTTCCTGGAGCATCCCCGCCTCCCCCCACCCCGTCTCCCCCCAACCCCACCCCGCTCCCCCCACCCCGCTACCCCCACCCCCCACCCCGCTCCCCCACCCCGTCTCCCCCCACCCCCCACACTGATTATCTGCCGCACCCCCCCCCCACTCCTCCTTTGGCAGATCCCGCCTCTTGGCTTTGTTTACGAGCATCGCTAATTCGCTGACGTCATCTCATTTAGCTTCACCCCCCCCATCCTCCTATCCCTAACCCCCTTTCTCAGCTCTCCACCGCCCCACGACTCCCCCCCCAACCCCCAGCGCCCCGCCGGGCCTCCCTTCACGCCCCCCCCCCCCCCCATTATTTATCATCGGAGTTAAGATCTCGTGGTCAAGCGATGCCATCATCAGCACAAACTCATTTGATCGAGCCGGGGTCGCCGCGTAATTCGCGGCGTCCGCGCGGGCCATGCGACGCTAATCTGCCTTAATTGTGACGGATGAGTCGGAATACCTTGCAGGTAATGTTTGGCTTTTATGAATTATGCGAAGCGTTCCTCTTCTGTATGCAGACGTCACACACCAAACACACGCACGCACGCGCACGCGCGAGCACGCGCGAGCGAGCGCGTGAACGCTTGGTAATTGACTTAATGTTTAGCCTGCGGGATGTTTGATGCTTTTTTTTCTGTACACGCTTCATTCTAAATTCTAAAGAGGTGTGCGGTGTAAGAGTGTAAGGAGTGTATGCCATCTTGGGTGTAGGGTGGGCTAGTTTCACGACTTGGGAGCCCCGCGCTCACTAATATTGTTAAAAGTAAAAACTCATTATACGCGCTCTGGCGGAGAGACATGGCGTAATGAGTTTTTAATAATTAATCACAATGATAATAATTCCCATTGTCATTCCGTTGCTGGGTGAAGAGTTATCTCCCCCACGCCGTGTGCCTCGTGGGAGTTGTTTGATCATACTTCCTCACTCTGGACAGCGCGGGTTGGTGAAAGCACGAGTGTAGAAGGGTGTCATGATCGTTTCAGAATCACTCACAGCTGATGTTAGCCGCGGCCTGGAATCGAACTCGGAGCGCCAATGAGTTGATTTGAGTTGTTTGGACGACGGATGCTTCCCGTTCAGCCAGTTGTTTCCGGCTACGTTACAAGGGAGATCCGTGGTGCGTGAGCACAGCAACAACAAAGACGTGAATATTGCTCACAGGCACGGCCGGATCAAGGCGTGGGGGCTTTAGGGGCTGTAGCCAAGAGGCCTCCGTCAGCTGGAGGGCCTCCAGGGATTGCGAAAAGTTATTTCATTTGTGAATGGTACATTTCATTTGTTGTTAGCCTTGTAAAAATAAATTAGATTTTTCTTTAACTTTGTTTCCCTTTTGAAAATATTACTGGGGGCCTCGCAGTACCTGAAGCCCAGGGGCCTGCAACATCTTAATCCGGCCCTGCTTACAGGGTGCGTAAGGAATAGAGTTTTTAGATTTGAAGCTTTCGTGACTGCAAGGATTCATTAAAATTAAAATTAATTTAATTTTTTTACCGACGTGACTTTACCGAAAAAACCTAAGAATATGAAGAGAGTTTTTAGCAACTAACAAACGAGGTTTTTCTAACAAATGAAAACTAACACAACGACCTTTACGAGGAGCCGCAAACGAAACGCATGCAAGTATAACACGAGAACAAGAAAAAGTTAGGTGCAGGTGCAAGTAAGCTCTGCGCGTTTGGTTATTTAATATGTAAATCACGGTGGGAGGGTGGGAGGAGGTGTGGAGGGAAGGGAACCGCGCTGAAGATGAGCTGCAGGGCGATTCCAGAAGCTCGGAGCAGCAACGCGGGAATACATAAGAAGTTATTATATATTTATTTGTTATATAAATAAATATGTTTTAACCAAAGTTTGAGCAAATTATGTTTTTTGTATGAATTAGTTAGTGTTAGGTTTTAATTTTCTGCGTCGGCAAGACCCATAGCTTAAATGGATGGCTCCGTGCCTCTAACATCTGGCGATGTAACGGCATTGTTCTTCTTGGTTCTTTCGGTAAAGTCACGTAGAAGGGAAGTAATAAAATAATAAAAATAAAACATAATAAAATAATATTTTATTCGATTTAAAGCTTTCGTGATTGCAGGGATTCATCTTCTTAATAAAAATAAAACATACTAAAATAATATTTTATTATGTTTTATTTTTTATTATTTTATTACTTCCCTTCTACGTGACTTTACCGAAAGAACCAAGAAGACGAATCCCTGCAGTCACGAAAGCTTTAAATCGAAATATAACAGCATTGGTTTAACAGGACTGACTGCTCATGGTTGAGACCCATAATGTAGAGTCTGGGGGGTTCATTGGCTGCCTGTATGTAAAATGTATGTGTTAAATGTTCCGTGAGTTACATCCGAAGCTGTGTTAAATATGGATGATGTAAATAATTGCTTGAAGATCGTGTTATTTTGTAATGAATTATGATTACGATGTATTACTGGATTATAAATGACGTCAATTATTACTTCAATTATGGAGTCGCTATTTGCTCGATCACCTACCAGAACCTAGCCTTGGAAAAGTCATGCGCGAATATTGATAATGCGCGCTATGAAATATCATCACCACGGTGATTTCTTTCGTCAATCCCGAGCGCAAAGTGTTACTCGTGTCAAACACGCGTACGCGGTGTGCGGAAGTCTGTCGAGAAACGCACTTGCACGTGGACCCCGTGAGGACGTAACGTTGGTCTGTAGACACTGATTCTTAACCTTTACCGCAGCCTTGCATCCTCGTTGGCTCTCACTCGTTAAACGATGTATAATATCAATAAACACATAGGGTTTGATGAAACAAAGAAGTTGTTATTGCGTTCCCCGTGCTTAATTTGTGTTTCGATGATTTGCCTTAAAAGAAAAATCATCTGGCCATGTCTCGCACCCCCAGAAAGGGCATCTCGCCACCCCCAGGGGGTGCGTGCACCCGCAGGTTAACAACCGCGAGTCTAAAGACAGCTGCTTTATTAATGAACGCATTGCCCTTTAGTTATAAAGCACACATTTTTCATAGCGTTGCACCCGCTGTACGTATCCTAAAATCTTGTTTAATTCACAGCCCTTTATAAATCCACTGCGGACTGAAGGCCTCCCGACGCCTTGTCGGTGATGAGGGTCATTTTGACCATACCTCACCGTGCTGGTCAGTTTTGGTTGCAGAACGAGAGGACCCAGAACCGGGTTCAGATATAACTTGCCACTGATGTTAGCCGTGGCCCGGGAATCAAACTCGGGTCACCTGGCTCATTATGAGAATCACACTAACCAACGCACCGCTGTTCCACCCACTGTTTTATGAATAAACCGATGTGTTTATTTTAAACGCCTCGCGAGCAACGCTCCCACGCGTCCACGAGTGAGCGTCTGCGACCGACTACTGACAAAGACACCACAGCAACCGCAGTGCATTTCTCTCTGCCGTGCCCCCCCCCCCGTCCCCTAGAGGACACCACGACCACTCTTTAGGGGGTTGGTGCCGCAGAACAGGGGCCCATCAAGGGGCTTCCCGGCTCGCCTAAAGGGGGTGGCGGCGGGGGGGGGCGAGAGGTCGGAGGTCAAGGCGATTACACCCTATCAATATCTAAATTACAAAACCCGGCACGAGTCGGAGCGCGCTGAGCGCACAGCTGGCGGTCAGCGTAATCCCTCGAGGCGTTGAGATTGGAGGTGGAAGAGTGAGCGCCTGGCGAGGGAGGAGGATTTGGGAAGTTTGATGGAAGGGGACGGGGTCGTGCAGGGAGGAGTGGGCTATGGAGTCGACGGGCGAGTATTGTGTGCGGTGTGCCGTCACTCGTCGCGTCGACCTTTATTGACGGCTGAGACTGAGTGGCGAGACGTGCGGTCCCAGAGGGGCGAGCCGAGGCCGGGCCGATGCGGGGAACCCTCCCGACGAACGAAAGAATGGATGGATGGTTGGGCCCCCCCCCCCCCCCCCCGATAAGAGCATCGACTGCAGCTCGTCTCATCGCCGGGACCCGTGCCGCGTTGAAACGTGGACGCGATATCAGGAATGGAGTTCTTTCTCTAGGAAGCCGCGCTCTCGCCATTCTGCTGTCACTCACGCCAGAGTAAGGACATTAACTATTCACCAATTCCGACGATGCGGTGAAATGTCAGGATTATGGGTTGCCATTCGACACGAAGAATTGGCGTACGCTTTGTTGGTTATTGCCCTGTTCCGTTCAATTAGCCTAAAATGAACATGAGCGTGTTTCGGGGGCTAAGCGGTGGCACAGTGGTTGAGTGCACTGCGTTATGAAAAACCGTGACCTGAGTTCAATTCCCCGCTTACGCCGAGCATCAGCGGTGGAGTGAACTCTGACCCGGTCTCGCGCCCCCTCCACACCCCCCCCGACCCCCCCCCCCCCGACCCTTTACCTACCCGCGCTGACCAGCGTGGTGAGGTATGGTCAAACAATCCGCATGACTGATTAGTACAAAATATACAGACAAACGTAGCGCGTGCTAGAAACCCATACGTTTCAAACAACAACAACAAGAACAACAACATGTAACAACAACACGTAACAACGCTTCAACAGCGCACAGCTTCTGTGAATTATACACGCAAAAACCCGATCAGTAGTGCATTGTGGGTCACTTTTCTTAGGTCACCGGTATCGTCATTGTTAAGTTTCATCAGTACGGTATAATCATCAATGCCACAATGCGGAGCGCAGTGCTTAACTCGTCTTCAGTAACTGCTGATGGTGTTCGTTGTCCGCCGCATAACGGACAATGGTCCGTTATGCGTCGTTCGCATGCGTCGTTTGAAACCTACCTCTGCACTGGTGCCTGACATTGCCTGCGTATTGCGTCGTCACTCACACACACACATTCCACGCACTTCATTACCCCCAACCAGGTATCCCCCTGCAACACAGAGACACATTG